ACCAGGACTAAACCAGGACTAAACCAGGACTAAACTAGGACTACACCAGGACTAAACTACTACTAAACCAGGACTAAACCAGGACTGAACCAGGACTAAACCAGGACTAAACCAGGACTAAACCAGGACTAAACAAGGACTAAAGCAGGACTGAACCAGGACTAAAGCAGGACTAAACCAGGACTAAACCAGGACTAAGCTAGGACTGAACCAGGACTAAACAAGGACTAAACCAGGACTGAACCAGGACTAAATCAGGTCTAAACCAGGACTAATCTTGGATGGAACCCTGAGCTCGTGGACCAAGGTGTCCGCAAAGCACGATCGGGCAACGGCTGCGCTTTGCAACGGTGCAAAGCTCCGCACTGGTCCTTGCGGTCACCCGACAGTCTACACGGCGCACCTTTGGGCCCATCCCGACACCCAGTCCTGGTTCAGTCCTGGTTTAGTCCTGGTTCAGTCCTGGGATCATTCTTGGTTTAGTGTTCCTGTTTAGTCCTGGGATTAGTCCTGGTTTAGTCCATAAGGTTCAAAATTGGATGAAACCGGAAACGTTTTTTTTCAATATTTTTTTCATAAGTCAACAAATTGTTATCTGTTATCTTTTTTTTTTTTTTTTTGGAGACAAATAATGAAGAAAATTTTGTTTTTTTTTCCATTTTCTTATTATTGGTTTTATTTTGAAAAACAAATGAACAAACGATACAAGGAGTCACCAGATTGAGACGAGACGAGATTTTGATTTGCCGTTCAGGTTCATAATTTTGACTTTATTTAATTAATTTTGGTATCAGAGTTTCTCAAGAGGAATTACTAAGCATAGTTAACCCCTTTTTCTTTCAAGACAAATGTAAAAATTTATGGAAAAAAATCTCCTGATCTTATGGCAGTTTTGTCTCGCCAGATCTTGTGGTACGAGATCTTGTCCTGTCCCTTTAAAGCAGTTTACTTCGTTCACTTGTTCAATTTCTCTCATCATATATGTTCATTTCGTTTGTCTCTTCAGGCGTTCTGTGGTTTCTCTCGTCCGGAGGAGCCCAGTGAAAACCTCTCTGCTGTGGCCACGGGGAACTGGGGCTGTGGGGCTTTTGGAGGAGACACCAGACTCAAAGGTAACTCTGATTTCATTAAACTATTTTCAGTTTATATTATTGATTGGTTGGCCTTGCTGTGGAACATTCCAAATAAAGCAATTTTAAGCAATTTTCTGAGACCAGAAAAGTTCCATCATACACCGTTAAATAACTGCAGTCTTTCCTTCAAGGTCCTATATTACAGCATTTTTCAGATTATAAGTGGAACTTCTTTTCATGGTCTGGGTGTTTCCTGCAATTTATAAAAGTTTCAGATTGACAACCACGAGAGGCTCTAGGCTTGTGTGTGAGTTTCTGCACATGTCTCCTCCAGAAAAAGCCTCTGTCCTGCTGCAAATATTGAAAAATGCAGCAGAAAACATTAATCGAGCAACAGAAAGAAAGTTTGGAGTGAGTGAGAAACTTGTGAGGGACTGACGGAAAGCGGGGATGGAGATGCTTCACAGCAACCGGGAGGATGCACCATGAAACTTTCCTGAAGTCACTGGATGGATGGACAAAGTCTGGACTTCAGTGACACAGAAACCATCCTGTCGGGATTCAGAAAGACCGGAATAATTCTAACTGGAACTGATGCTGAGTCTGACGACAGCGACACAGAAGAGGAAGCGGCGCAACGTTTACCTCCAGAGGTCGAGGAGTTGTTCAGAAGTGACACCAAGGATGAAGAATTTAATGGATTTAATGAACTAAACTGTTTTCAGTCCTGGTCTGGTCCTGGTCTCAGTCCTGGTCTCAGTCCTTGTCTCAGTCCTGGTCTCAGTCCTGGTCTCAGTCCTGGTCTCAGTCCTGGTCTCAGTTCTGGTCTCAGTTCTAGTCTGGTCCTGGTCTGGTCCTGGTCTCAGTCCTGTCTCAGTCCTGGTCTCAGTCCTGGTCTCAGTCCTGGTCTGGTCCTAGTCTCAGTCCTGGTCTCAGTCCTGGTCTGGTCCTGGTCTCAGTCCTGGTCTCAGTCCTGGTCTCAGTCCTGGTCTCAGTCCTGGTCTCAGTTCTGGTCTCAGTTCTAGTCTGGTCCTGGTCTGGTCCCGGTCTGATCCCGGTCTGATCCCGGTCTCAGTGCTGGTCTTGTCCCAGTCTCAGTCCCGACTTTAGTCTTGGTCCTATTTCCAGTCTCAGTCCTGGTCTCAGTCCGGGTCTCAGTCCGGGTCTCAGTCCGGGTCTCAGTCCGGGTCTCAGTCCGGGTCTCAGTCCTGGTCTGGTCCTGGTCTCAGTCCTGGTCTCAGTCCTGGTCTCAGTTCTGGTCTCAGTTCTAGTCTGGTCTGGTCCCGGTCTGATCCCGGTCTCAGTGCTGGTCTTGTCCCAGTCTCAGTCCTGACCTTAGTCTTGGTCCTATTCCCAGTCTCAGTCCTGGTCTCAGTTCTGGTCTCAGTTCTGGTCTCAGTTCTGGTCTCAGTTCTGGTCTCAGTCCGGGTCTCAGTCCTGGTCTCAGTCCTGGTCTCAGTCCTGTCTCAGTCCGTGTCTCAGTCCGGGTCTCCGTCCGGGTCTCAGTCCTGGTCTCATTCCCGGTCTGGTTCCGGTCTGGTCCCGGACCTGGTTTAGTCCTGGTTCAGTCCGGCATCACAGTTTAAGTCACAGAAACGGGAAACTTTTTTTCCAGTCTTCATTAAAACACAAAATTGAAAACTGAAAAAACAAATCATTATCTGTTTTTTTTTTTCATTTTGGTTTTGGAGACAAATAATGAAGTTTTTTGTTTTTTTTTTCTTATTTTTGGTTTTATTTTGAAACACAAATGAACGAATGACAAACGGATTCTCCAGGTCTGTTTGTGACGAGGAAACTACATTAGATCAGAACAGAAAACAGAGTCATATCTAAACTCTTGAACAGGTTTCTTCAGGTCAACACAAACCACACAAATCTTTCATATCGTCTTTTATTTTATTGCTCGTTTAAACCATCCACAATCCCCATCGTAAAGACGCTCGGACCGGACCCCGCTCGCTCTCTCTCTCTTTCTCTCTCTGTCCATTCGTCTTCGCAAACGTGAACATTTACTTAAGTCTCCCGGTCTCCTCCTCTTATCGATCCGACGCCGAGCTGATCGCCTTTCATTAGGAGAGGAATCGATCGCGGCTGGAGTCCATCGGTCAGAGGAAGTGTCCGCGGCCGCGTTAGTGTCCAGCGTTTAAAGGACCTGAGCCGTGACAGGAGGAGGACGGCGAAGGATCGGGCCAATTATAAAATGTGACGTTACAGATGGAGGAAAAAGACGAGCGCTGGAATTTGGTGCGGAGAAGTCGGGGGTTGCCGTGTTGGAAAAAAATAAAATAAAATGATTTAAGACGAGTTATTAAAAGAAAAAATGGTAAACGACGCATTTAAAACTATGCGTTTAAAGCTGCACGGTGGAACTTTTTGGTTGAGGGAGCTGCTTTTTTCTGTGGGTATGTCAGTCCAGGACTAAACCAGGACCGAACCAGGACTTAACCAGGATTAAACCAGATCTAAACCAGGTCTAAATCAGGTCTAAACCAAGACTAAACCAGTACTAAACCAGGACTAAACCAGGATTAAACCAGATCTAAACCAGGTCTAAACCAGATCTAAACCAGGTCTAAACCAAGACTAAACCAGGACTAAACCAGGTCAAAACCAGGACTAAACCAGGACTAAACCAGGATTAAACCAGGTCTAAACCAGGATCTAAACCAGGACTAAACCAGGTCTAAACCAGGACTGAACCAGAACTAAACCAGCACTAAACCAGGATTAAACCAAGTCTAAACCAGGACTAAACCAAGTCTAAACCAGGTCTAAACCAGGACTAAACCAGGTCTAAACCAGGTCTAAACCAGGACTAAACCAGGACTAAACCAGGACTGAACCAGGACTGAGCCAGCACTGGACTAGGTCTAAACCAGGACTAAACCAGGACTTAACGAGGACTTAACCATGTCTAAACACGGACTAAATCAGGACTGAACCTTTGCCATGTCAATAGTGGATTATAAATATATACCACAGAACCAATCGCCTGAACTACACCAGGACTGGACCAGGACTACACTAAACCAGGTCTAAACCAGGTCTAAACCAGTGTCATTAGCATAAATATATACCGTATTTTCCGCACTATAGGGCGCTCTGGATTATAAAACTGTAAGTGAACGGTCTATTTTCAAACATTTTTCACAAATAAACCGCCGGAGTTCACCGGTCTTTAAACGAAACACAACGATGGATTCGATGGGTCGTATTGGGACCCGAGTGGATTCGTGTATCGGACGCTCTGGATTGTGGCGCGCAGTCATTTTTTGATGCGGTTGGAGGCTTTTGAGCGCGCCCTATGGTACGGAAAATACGGTAGGTACACTCTGAAACCGTCGAGCCGATTGAACTGTATTAAATCGATTTGAAATATATTGTATTGAATCGTATCGAATCGAAAGCTCACTGTATCGAGGTCTGTATCGTATCGGCAACGTCTGAATGACACCCAGCCCTGCCCTGACCGTCACAAAGCGTGTTTTTCCTGGTCTTATTACCCGCTGACCCTCACATTACCCTTTCCGTCGTATATACTGTGGCCTTATATTAATGAAATGATCTTTTTCTATAGGAGCCGCCACCTACTGTTGATCTAATTATGCCTCCCAGGAAGATCTGCCCCACGTCACCCATCAGATCTCTTCCACTTCAATTACACTTCAACACGATTCATTAGACGAGCCGTGACTAAATCTACACCATCTCCAGTTTAGTCGAGCTCTAAACGTGCGGCTTTGTAACGCTTTGGAATTTTCGCGACCGTTTTGTTATCGTCTCGGTTTTAAAGAGTGTTTAAATATTAACGCGTCTCCCGGGACGATCCTGGTTTCTCTTTGAATTATGGTTCACGGTGAGACAAAGATCTATTGCTTCACCGTGAAACTGCCGGGAACGAACTCGATGCTCAGCGCTGGCTCAAGATGCCACGATGATTAAAAAAAACGCTCTTTATGCGGTTTTCAGCGTCAAATGGTTGTACTTTCTTTTCTGTTCCCATGTGGTCTTATATCTGTGTAATCCTCAGTGGTCCAGGTCTAAACCAGGTCTAAACCAGGTCCTTGGGCGTACACTAGTCTCTGTGCTCTTATACTTGTTTTGATACAGCTCAAGATCATTTTAAAGACATTCAGGAAAGGTTCATGCCTGTCCAGCCAATGAGAACTGCAAAAAATGAGGATCTACACTGGGGATGGGCATTCGATTAAATTTTCTTAATCGATCGTCGGGAGAATTAACGATAAATTTTCAATTACCGTATTATGGGCTTCTACCCTGTGTTTTTAAAGTTTCATTCATATGTTAATACGCCCTGTAATTTGCCCTGTTATATGTTGTGTATGTTTTTGGACTTTGGAGTGTCGATGGTGAATGTATATGGGACAGATAAGGGGTGTATCTCCAACCTTTAGCATCTGCCAGTCTGTTATGGGACACGTGTTGGGACAAAACCGCTGTGTATGTTTCCATGAAGATGTGAACTCAACAGTTATGCTGGTATAAAAGGCATCCAGTTTTCCTGTGCATCAGTGGGGGAACGACCGACTGCGTTGTCGAGGGACGACCGACGCACAGAGAGACGCCGCGTAGGCAAAATCATGCTGAATCAACTTGAATCTTGAGACCTGAATCTGCCTGAATTAATAAAGAGACATGTCTGAGACCTTTTCTAACTCTCCAAGTCTCTTTCTTAAGATCCTCTGTTTAGGCTGCCTCCAGGAGAAGCTGACAGTATTTTTCAGACTAGAAATCGTATAAGTTGCACCAGCCAAAAAATGCATAATGAAGAAGGAAAAAAACATTTAAGTCGCATCGGACTGTAACTCTGTATTTTTCGGACTATAAGTCGCTCTGGAGCGTAAGTCGCACCAGCCAAAAAATGCGTAATGAAGAAGAAAAAACATGTAAGTCGCACTTTTGGGGGGAAATTTATTTTTTTTAAATCAGAGACCAGGAGCAGACATTTTATCTTGAAAGTCAAGTTGTAGTAAAAACAATAGAAGAGAGAACAACAGACTGTTAACGTCACATATGAACAGTTCTTCAGATAAACTATAACATAAACAACAGAACAGAACAAGTTTAACAAACTCTCCATCTCACTCCAAATCACTAAATCCATTCAATTCTTCATCCTCGGTGTCACTTCTGAGCAACTCCGCGCAACTTGGGTTGTCACTGAAGTTCAGGCTTTGACTTCAGACTTCAGGAAAGTTTCATGGTAAGTCCTCCCGGTTGCCATGATGCGGGGATGAAGCTCTCCATCCCCGCTTTCCGTCAGTCCCTCACAAGTTTCTCGCTCACTCCAAACTTTCTTTCTGCTGCTCGATTACCAGCACAGAGGCTTTTTCTGCAGGACAACGCTGATTCTAGAGCCTCTACCGTCCCTGAAAATGAATGTCACGAATTGTAGTTTTCAACTTTTACCTCTTACCTTTAATTCACAGTAGAGATTGACAAATCCAGCGCTGAAATGATCCAAATCATTCTAGTAAAAGTGTGTGGGGTGTTTTCTGTTTGAGAACTCAGCCTAAATATGCAGGATTTGTGTGTTAAATGTGTGAATGAAACAAAACACAACTCCACGAAACAAGATTATAATCAGAAAATAGAGTAATATGGGTCCTTTAACATTTCCAAACCCCAAAGCAACTCATTTTGATTACAGTAGCCTCATCTGTGTTATAGAAAATGCCATATCCTCTTTGTTGTTGTTGATTTTCCTGTATCTGCGTCCCTGTGTCCCTGTGTCCCTGTGTCCCTGCGTCCCTGCGTCCCTGTGTCCCTGCGTCCCTGTGTCCCTGTGTCCCTGTGTCCCTGTGTCTCCAGCTCTGCTCCAGATGTGTGCAGCTGCAGAGGCGGGGCGGGACTTGGCCTACTTCACCTTCAGAGACTCACAGCTCATGTCCGACGTGCACAAGATCCACCGCTTCCTCTGTGAAAAACACGCCACTGTGGGTAAGAACTGAACCAGGACTGAACCAGGACTGAACCAGGATTAAATCAGGGCTGAACCAGATCCAATCAAGGACTAAACTAGGACTAGACCAGGGTTAGAACAAAGAGACTTGTATGTCAGACGTATGCATAAAACAGAAGTATGACTATTTAAAAATGTGAGCAAACAGCATCAGTTATCAGATAGAATATTAATTAATTAATATAATATTAACTCCACAGTGTGTAATGTTTTGTCCAAACACAAACTAAAATAAAACATATTGTCTTTTTGGACGTTTCGTTTGTTAAACACATGTCCTCACTCTGAGTGGGACTCTTCTTTGGCAGGAGGAAAGCCGCCTCCTGCTTGTTTCTATGGAAACATTATACCACACTGTGGAATATTCCAGCCAAATCAACACTTTGGCTGTAATATTCCACATTGCGGCATAAACCAAAAATTATGAATGTAACTCGGGTTCTATGAGTCCCAGATGCCCGCGGGGGCCGCACTCAAAAAGGATTAAACACCAATGTTCCAACACATGGTTCTACTTCAATTCTTTTTCTATATTTGATCTTAGAGTGTGAATTAAAGTGAATATTGGATTTTATTTGTCAGCCGCAAATTCAAGTAGCCTGATTCATCAGACGGTTTCACTTCGTACAAACTGTACTCTGACCTCACAGCATTAGGATTTGTTCGCTCGATGGTATGCAGGTACTTTTTTATTTAACCAATCGCTGCGATTTGGTCGTGACGTATGTAATGCTCCAAATCCTGTAGGAAGAAGGACATTAACGTCTTTCCCCTTGATAAAATTCACCAAACATTCTCTTTGTTCCGGCTTTAAATCCTCGATCTTGGGAATCGCTGCCAACACAGAATGTCTGTCTATTCGCTGATTGGCTGGTGTCTGAACTTGCACTTCTGTAGTTCTTACAAATCGTCTAGTGTATTTTGATTCCTGATCTAGTCGCTGCAGAAAAATGAAACTGAGCGGAGGCACTAGGCGGCGCCAGCCTGACTAAAATTCAAGCGCTTCCTTCTACAATAATCAAACCTCAGATGAGATGGAGCGACGTCTCTGGAGCCGGATGATGTAAGAGACACTGAGATTTGTTCAGGACGAGTCTGAGATGTGGGTCAGGTGACGGTGTTGGAGTTCTGTGTAATGGAGCGTGAAGAGCAGAGACTCTGAGGAGGTGAAAAAGTTAATGAGGCAAAACTACAAAACATCAGGACGCAGACTGGACGGTTTAGGGTTAGAGCGGCAAATCTCACGGACAAAACCTGAAATGAATTGGTACAGAAGTCATATTGATGGAGATTTATATTACGTTTAACTTTCTCTCCTTTTCTCTTCCATCTCCCTCCCATTATCCCCTCCTTCGTTATATCCTCCCTCTTTCTTTCTTTGTCTCCATTTCCCTCATTTCTATCTTCTCTCCCTCCCTTCCTCTTGCTTCCTTCCTCATTCCCTCTGATTTTCTCTTCTTCCTTCTTTATCTAACCCCACTCTCTTCTCCTCCCCTGTTCCCTCCCACCATCTCCCTCTTGTTATCCGTACAAATTTATATCCCTCCCTTCTTCTTGCTCTCTTTATCTCTCTCTCTCTCTATCCGACGTTCCCTCTCTCCGTCTCTCGTTCTCAGGTGAAGTCTACGATCTTTTGGAACGGTATTTCGTCGGTCACGTCGAGAACTGCTCCGCTCGTCGTCCTGAAATCAGCCTTTATTCTTTCATTTACAAAACCCTGCGCTCGTCTGGCTCCTCTGGCTCCGCCCCTCGCAGCTCCCTTCTGGAATCAGCCAAACTATAAACCCTGTAAACCTTTTTTCTAGACAAAAAAATACACGGAAATCTCTCAAATGAAGCCAACAGGAGGTAAACGTAAAGTGTTACATGAAGCAGTTTGAATGGAGAGACTGGGATTAGTCACAGAATGTCACAAAATATGAAACATCTAATTAGTTTTTTTCAAAATGAGCTCTAAACAAAATTACTAAACAAATTTTGATTAAAGACGGGGGTATTTTTACTTCTTTAACTTCTTTAACACTAACACATCACATATTTAGATCTCCGTGTTCCTTTTATTGTTTTGAAAATGCTGTATTCGCCAAAAAACAACGGTTTAACATGTGTTATAAGTTTCCCTCTCTCTTTGCTCTTCATACTAAGTAACTCCCCCTTCAGAGCGCTGTCACAACACAATCAGCGTACGTCCCACTAATGAAACTACAGCACATCGCATCAGGTTTTTGTATACTGTATTTTTTGGACTATAAGTCGCACCAGCCAAAAAATGTGTAATGAAAAAGAAAAAAATATATATAAGTCGCACTTTTTGGGGGAAATTTATTTTGTAAAATCAGAGACCAGGAGCCGACATTTCCTGTTGAAAGTCAAAGTTGTAGTAAAAACAACAGAAGAGAGAACAACAGACTGTTAACGTCACATATGAACAGTTCTTCAGATAAACTATAACATAAACAACAGAACAAGTTTAACAAACTCTCCATCTCACTCCAAATCACTAAATCCATTCAATTCTTCATCCTCGGTGTCACTTCTGAGCAACTCCACGACCTCCGGAGGTAAACAGAGCGTCGCTTCCTCAGTTCCAGTTCCAGTTAGAATTATTCGGGTCTTTCTGAATCCTGACAGGATGGTTTCGGTGTCACTGAAGTCCAGACTTTGTCCATCCATCCAGTGACTCTGCTGCTCGATTATCGTTTTCAGCTGCAGATTTCATGACTTGCAGTTTGTAATCTGCAAAATCTGATTTTCTTTTTGGGGGCATTTGTGTTCAGTCTTCTCAGTCTTTGTCTTTATAAGTTTGTTTAAATGTTAAATTGTTCAGTGGTGCAGAAGTAATGTTGTGATCGACTGACATGATACAGACAGGACAGAGGCTCTTTCTGCAGGAGACATGTGCAGTAGAGCAAAGTGACAGTGGTGCAGGAGGAACAGGAGCAGCAGATACTCACACACAAGACTAGAACCTCTCCACACTTCACTCAAACATTTTAATATAGAAGTCACACAGGAAACACTCAAACCATGAAAAAAAGTGCGACTTGTAGTCCAAAAAATAGAGTATTTATGTAGAAATGGGTGACGTTGGCTTGTGGGCGGAGCTTCATACAGAATCTTACAGTTAACCCTAAAGAGGCTTTGAATAGGGCCCGGGAGAGATTGCTAAATTACTCAAACATGCATAGATGACTCTAAAACCTCTTTAGGCAAAAAAATAAAAAATAAATACATTTTGCACTGTACCCCGTCTTTAAGGCAATTTTTTTTTTTTTTTGTTGTTGTTGTTGTTTACTGGACAAATATTTACATAATTGTTAACTCCCACAGTATTATTTTCATTGTCTTTACATTTTTATTGTAATAACATACAACAAATTATACTTTTGTGAAGTTCAAATACAGTTATGGCGTAAAATCAGCACTGTTTCCTTCCTTTGTGATAAAAAATCAAACTGTCCGACATTTATAGTCTGAATATTCAAAATTGTAGCTTACTTTTGTTCAGATCAAATGTTTTGTGCTTTTCTTCACTTTGGCTCCAGTCGCCTCTGTAATTCTGAATATTCTGATGACATTTAATTTCAAAGTACATCTGATTTGTTCCTGCCTTATTCAACTAATCATATTTAATACCTGTTTGGAAAGAAATGAAAAGTGTGTTCTGCAGATCGAGTGTGTTTTTAGATTTGAAATTGGTTTATATTTTTTCATGTTACTCGATGATTTGAATAAAAAATTTGGATAATAAAAAACTCTCGTATAGTTTTATTTTTGTTGGTTGTGTTGGTGTTATAAGTCTACAGCAATTTACAACATTAATAAGACAAAAAAATATATATGTAAAGTGCATTTTGAGCTTTGGAGATGTAAACAGACTAATAATAATAAAGAGTTACTCAAACGTGTGAACTCCAGGTCTGTTTTTGAGGAGTAAACAACATTATAACCTGCCTTAAAGCTCACAAGAGTCGATTTCGTGTAATACAGGACTTTTAAAATCCCGATTATTTAAAATGAGGTGTGGTCCAGTATGGATATTTTCTACCAAGATCAATTTCTAATATTTGCAGATGCTGAGAATCCATATCGAGGACCTTAAATTAAAGACACGTTATTCCCAAATGAACAAAATGGATTTTCTGCTGATATTATAGTTGGATTTTAATGATGATTGTGTAAACATACAGACTCCTCTTCACGTCACAGCTCTTCAAATCCATTGGAAAAATATTGGAATATTGGAAATGAGTTTCCTCCGCAGGGTGTCTGGGCGCTCCCTTAGAGATCGGGTGAGGAGCTCGGTCACACGGGAGGAGCTCGGAGTAGAGACGCTGCTCCTCCACGTGGAGAGGAGCAGCTGAGGCTCGGGCGTCTGTTCTGATGCCTCCTGGACGTCTCCCTCAGGAGGTGTTCCATGTCCCACCGGGAGGAGGCCCCGAGGAAGACCCAGACACACTGGAGGGACTGTTTGGACATTAAATGTAGCCCATTTCTTTTCAACATTCAATTGAACCAGCAATATCAGAACAAAATATTCCATAAAATAATTACAAAAAGATTAGAAATGATGCAAAACACGTCTTAACATTTCAACATTTCTAATGAGATAGATGGGCCTGTTCCAGTCGGGCTGCAGCAGATCAGGTGCAGCATTCAGTCGTTTTTTGTTTTTGTCTGCATCTCTAAAGCTCAAAACACTCTATTCCACCTTGTGATGTCATGAAGCTGTAGTTTTTGAGTTAACAGCTCCTTTTTTATCACCCCAGTGCTGAAGTCTCTGCACTGGCTCCTGTGAGCTTCAGGATAGATTTTAAAGTTCTTTTATTGGTTTATAAAGCTCTTAATGGTCTTAGTCCTATTTATTTATCTGATCTGCTTTTATCATATGAGCCTCTCGGACTCTCAGGTCCTCAGGTAATCGTCTTTTAACTGTCCCAAGAGTCAAACTAAAACTCACGGTTGAGGCGTCTTTTAGCTTTTACGGCCCCCGTTTATGGAACAGTCGACCTGAGGATCTGAGGTCCGCTGCGAGTGTTCAGATTAAAAAAAAAAACATATCATTTTAATTTAGCTTTTACTGAAACTTTTACCTGTATTAATTTAAAATTATCATTATTATTGTTATTATTATAGTTGTTTTAAATTAAATTATCATTACTATTTTACTTAGTCTCCATCTGATTTTAGCTCTACATTTTCATTTTTACTATAACTTTTAAGAGCTTTATGTTTATTATTAGGGGTGTCAAATTATCGCGTTAATTGTGATTAATTAATTACAGTCATATTTAGCGCGTTATGTTTTTTAATCGCGTTAATCTCATTTTTAATCTCTAACTTTAGTGTTTCTGTATGTGAGTTGCTTTATTATAAAACCTGTTTTTATGTGTTGTTGGGACAACAACAACACACACACACACAAAAAACACATTTATACATTTTTTAATTTCGGCAATTCCACTCATTGCCGGAAACCCACACAAAACGTGCGCAGTAAGAGCGACGTTTACGGCGTCAGTCGCACAATGGACGAGGTCGAAGAGCCAGTAGAACAGAGCAGCAGTGCACAGGTAAAAACACATTCGTGTCTTGGAAATTATTCTCCCGACGTGAAATATAAAAGAAAATAACAAATATAATATCGCCTACAACTTAAACGTCACTGGTGAAAACAACCTGCATAGACTCATGATGTCTGCACTACTGTCCTATACACACACACACTAACACAAACACACACAAACACACACACACACAACACACACAAACACACACAACACACACACACACACACACACACAAACACACACACACACACAAACACACACAAACACACACACACACAAAACACACACAAACACACACACACACAAACACACACAAACACACACAAACACACACAAACACACACACAAACACACACAAACAAACACACACACAAACACACACAAACACACACACACACACACACACACACACACACACACACACACACACAACACACACACAACACACAAACACACACACACACACACACACACAAACACACACACAAACACACACCTTCATCATCGTCATCAACCTGAGAACGCGCGGACCACGTTTCTTTCCGTAGTTACTGCGTGGACACCGACGTGCTCCCGTGAGCCGCGTGTGGATCGTGTTTTCTCGCTACGCTGCGTAAACCGAGCTTCCTCCTGTGAGCCTCTAAACCAGAACTAACACCAAGACTAAAACCAGGACTAATCCAGTCCAGGACTAAACCAGGTCTAAACCAGAGAACTAAACCAGACTAAAACCAGGACTAATCCAGTCCAGGACTAAACCAGGACTAAACCAGAACTAAACCAGAACTAAACCAGAACTAAACCAGAACTAAAACCAGAACTAAAACCAGGTCTAAACCAGAACTAACACCAGGACTAAAACCAGGATTAATCCATTCCAGGACTAAACTAGGACTAAAGCAGGTCTAAACCAGGACTAAAACCAGTGATCTCATATATAAAGCATTTCTCTATCAATAATATTTTTAATATGTTAAGGAAAGACTGGACTTTTTATTGTCTTTAAGTCGACAAAAGTTATTATGTTCAGATTTCCTCGTCTTTGCTACTTTACAACAAACAGTTTCTTATTCATGGAGACTTGGACTCAACAGCCAATTTGAAGAGATTTGTTAAACAATAAATTACTTTATAAAGTCACTTTTTTTTGTTCTATATCAGTGTTTTGATCTGCCACAATAATGTAATAATGAATTTAAATGAAAATACCTCAAATTGAAGCTTTTCTCAGCAATTTTTAGGTGAGATTAAAATGAGATTAATTAGATTAATTAATTACAGATCATAATTAATTAATCTCTCAATTTTTTTAATCGCATGACAGCACTAGTTATTAGTTTTTGAGTTTTTATGTTCCTGTTTAAATTGCTGTATATGTGGGGAGGTTAATTAATGTACTGAAATTTTTCTGTTGCATGTGAAATGTATGAAAAGTGCTATACAAATAAAGTTCAATTGATTGATTGATTGATTTTTTAATCTTTAGTTCGGTAGAAATCGGCAATTCCAGGTCTGAAATGATCCAAATGATTCTAGTGAAGGCGTATGCAGTTTAAAAACACACATTGGAGCACTTCCTGTATTACCACGTGACATCACAAGGTGTTTTCATGATTCAAATTCATTTACACAACCCTTCTACTTGACAGCTCCGTATATTTCTTCTCTTTAAATGTCAGAAACCCTTAAAAGCTCTGTTCTTTGTGTTTCGTTGCAGGTGAAGTGTCTCGTTCGCGGCTCCAGACTCGTTCAGATCCACGTTTGTGTTTTAACGGTGACGTAAAGGTTGAGTCTGTCTCCAGTTTGTCATGTTTCCTTTTACACCGGGCTTTAATGAACCGTCAAAAGAAACGCGTTCAGAGGAGACGGAAAAAAAACCCACAGACTCGAGAGGGAACGTAATATGAAGCTGGTTTAATGTTATTTATTGTTTTCATGTTGTTGACTTAGATTTTTTTGGACACAGAAGCTCACACGTCACAATAAATATAACAAAAAGCAACAATATAAATGGTAATAAACTCTAAAATAAATAGTAAAAAATAGCAAGAGACAAAATAATAAATAAGGCATAATTATATAAATGTATACAATAAGTACAACAAAACTAAAATATAGAAATGCATAAGTCTGAATTGTGCTGCAAAATTTAGTTGAAATTAGTTTTGAATGACTTGAGTTTACAGTTTTACATCTCATTTTGTGTATTATATTCTAGTAAAATGTATTATGTATTATTTCAGGTAGAAAATATAGATTGTTAGTCTGATTCATCAGCTGGTTTCACTTTGTGGAAACTGTCTGACCTCGCAGCATTACGATTCGTTCGCTCGACAGTAGGCGGGTTCTTTTTTTATTTAACCAGTCGCTGCTGTTTGGTCGTGATGTTTGTAATGCACCAAATCCCGTAGGAAGAAGGACAATAATGTCTTTCCCCTTGATTAAATTCAACAAACATTCTCTTTGTTCCGACTTTAAATATTTTCCAATTCCTGATCTAGTTGCTGGAGAGAAATGAAATTGAGCGGAGGCACTAGGTGACACCAGCCTGGATAATAAAGTGTATGTGTAAATGGACAAAGTTAACCCTCTAACCCAGGCATGTCCAAACTGTGTCTCTCGTTAGCTCTCTCGTTAGCTCTCTCGTTAGCTCTCTCGCGTGGCGGCGTCTGCGCATGTAAACACTGCCGAACAACTGAAGAAAGTGATGGATCGCGCAGTGGTACGTACGGAGAGAAAATAGCGCCAAGCGATTATGAGATCTGACTTTTTTGGCGACGATGGTTTTGTGATGCAAATGTGTCACTCTTTTGAACACATGTTGCTTTGAGAAGAAAAACGCTTTAGTAAACAGTCCCCACACAACTTGCCGAACTACTTTCCTCAGCACCAAAACGGGCCAGTATCTCGGCTCACCGGACGCTTTCGGGGGTAAGTCGGTGTGGATGCACAACACTGATGACGGGGATGACATACAGATTTATGTCAAAAATCCTGAACTATCCCTTTAAAGGAGAACAAAGACGACGCATTAGTGACTCACTGAACAAACCTAATGTTATGATCATGAATAAAACAGAAGTAATGAGTAATCCATTAATAAGTAACTTGTTCACTCAGACTGATTCTAGAATTAAAATAAAAAATGTATTTCATGATGTAGATATTAGCACAGACAGATTCAT